TGGGGGTGACGGTGTAATGCGTAAATTAGATCGTATTTTGGGAAATTCAGCTTTCATTGCTAGATTTGGGGACGCCTCGGTTTTCTTTGAACCAAGGGGGATCTCAGATCATTCTCCGSGAATTCTTTCCTTCAAAGTTGGTAGGCGACTTCGTCAACGTGGTTTCAAATTTGATAATTTTGTGACTTCTCATGTGGACTTCCTTAAGTCCGTGGAGGGGGTGTGGATGAAGCCTCAGAGAGGTTCATATATGAAGAGAGTGCTTAGAAAAATGCAAGAGATGAAAGGGGTTTGTCGTCGGCTTTGAAATTCTTATGGGTGTTTGGATAAGAAGGTGGCTYTATTAAAAACGGAACTTGATGTTGCTCAATTGGCTTGTGATCTAGACCCGTTTAATGATTTGCTGAAAGAGGACATTGCTCACCTCTTGTTAGCATATCAAAAAGCTAGAAATGATCAAGTGGAAATGGTTCGACAAAAAGCAAAGATTTCTTGGCTTAATGAAGGGGATGGAAACTCAAAGTTCTTCTTTCATGCTATGAGAGAGAAGCGTAATAGGAGCCATATTGCTACTATTATGGATTCTTTTGGTACTGTTTTTGAACATCACGATGTTCCAAAAGCTTTTGTTAATCATTTTGAAGGTATTCTGGGTACTTCTAATATGTTGGTTCGTCCTTCTATGGTGGATTGTTCTTTTGTTCACTCTTTATCGTTATCGGACTCTCTGCATTTAATCAGACCTATTACAGATATGGAAATACAGACTGCTCTGTTCGATATTGGGAATGACAAGGCTCCTGGACCTGATGGGTTCTCGTCAAAGTTCTTTAAAGCGGCTTGGAGTGTGGTTGGTAGGGATGTTCTTATTGCGGTACATAATTTTTTCTACTTTGGAAATTTAGAGTACCAGTTGAATCATACTTTACTTTGCCTAGTACCGAAGGTTCCAAATGCTTCATGTGTTACTGATTATTGACCCATTGCCTGCTGTAATATTTTGCTGAAATGTATCAGTAAAATTATTGCTGATCGGATAAAAGGCTCATTGGATGTTCTTATTAGCAAGGCTCAATCTGCGTTCATCCCTGGACGACAGATAACTGATAATATTTTAATGGCGCATGAGCTTGTAGCTGGCTATCAAAAACCTCAAGGGGAGCCAAAGTGTGCGTTTAAGATTGATATTCGGAAAGCTTATGATACAGTTGACTGGTAGTTTCTTCTAGAGATGCTAAAGGGAATGGGATTTCATCCAATTATGCTTAACTGGATAAAGTCTCTAATTACTTCGCCTACTTTCTCTATATGTGTTAATGGACAACCGGAGGGTTTTTTTCATGGTAAGCGGGGTCTTAAACAAGGGGATCCATTATCTCCTTACTTGTTCACGGTAGTTATGGAAGGTTTATCGATGTTTCTAACAAAATGTATTGAAGAGGAGGTTAATTTTGCATACCATCAAGGATGTGCTGAGATCAAGTTGACCCATTTATGTTTTGCGGACGATCTGTTTATATTTTTTCGGGGGGATGCTACCTCTGTTGAAGTGATAAAACGAGCTCTCCAATTGTTTGAGGATCGTTCGGGTTTGTCACCGAGTCTTGAAAAAAGTGAAGTGTTTTTCGGGAATGTGGGGTTAGATGTTCAAAATATCATTCGCAATTGCTTACCTTTTCGTCCGGGGGTTTTTCCTATTCGCTACCTTGGAGTTCCTCTCTCTCCAGTTCGATTGAAGGTAAGTGATTTCAACCCTCTTGTGCTTTAACTAAAATCTCGATTATTGAACTGGAAAAACAAATTTCTTTCTTATGGGGGAAGACGACAGCTTATTATCTCTGTTCTTCACTCTATGCAAACCTATTGGATGTCGGTATTTCTTGTACTGGCAACCACTATCCATGAAATTGAACAACTGTTCCGTAATTTTTTATGGAATAAAGCGGAGGGTGAACTGGGAAAATGTCGAGTATCTTGGGATAGCGTCTGCTTACCTATACAAAATGGTGGTCTTGGTTTGAAAAGACTAGCGATTTGGAATCGGTGTTTACTTTTTAAACATATTTGGGATATTCTTACTCGAAGAAATACCATGTGGGTCTCTTGGATTCAGTCTCATTGTATTTGGGGTAGAAATTTTTGGATAATCAAGAAGAGGAATGAATGGTCGTGGCTTCTCCGGAACCTTTTAGAGTTAAGACCTCATTGCAGACGGTTTTTTTCTACAATGTGGGAAATGGTTTATCTACGCACGCTTGGGAAGACACGTGGAGTGAGTTTGGTCCCCTTATTCAATTGATGTCTTACAGATTCATAAATGGTCATGGCTTTCATAATAACTCTACGGTATATGATCTAATGCAACGGTTTGGCACTAATTGGCCGGTGGAATGGATACAACAATATCCCCAGCTGCAAAGTATTATGATACCACCTCCCAGTCAAATTGAGGATATGGTCAGATGGCTTGAT